GAATTTTAAATTAGCAGACAACAGAAGAGCCGATAAAAGTTAATTTTGTACAAAAATCCCCTAAAAACAATGAACAACACTTGCTACTATAATGAACATAGCCATCTGACAGATGGAAAAGACAAATGAACGCAAAAAAAACTGACTTGTTTTTTGAACAAAAAACCAACCTTCGATTTAAAGAAAAAAATTTAACCTGGCACCTCTTTAAATTTTTAGAACAATTTAAAATTAACATTTTTTTCATGAAATCAACCCAATTTGAGAATACTGGATCAATAGATTTTATTTAGCTGGGAAATCTGATAATTACATTGCACTTTCGAAGCTAGAAGTCGATCAAGTTTTTCCTGGTCTTTAAATTTTTGCTGTTCGATAGTGGAGTTTACCTTGCTTTTGCAAAAGGAAATGCACTGAAAATGAAAAGAAATCACAAGTCAAATCAGTTAAAAAAATCAAAATTAAACCAACAAATTTTATAACTTTCCTAAAAACAAAAAAAAATAATAATAAAACAAAAAACCACCAAGACCTCTTATATAAGAGTCTTCACTACGTTCATTAAATTTAAAAACTGTTAAGAGCACAAGAAAATTAAGTTCGTGATGCGGCAACTAAGCCGGCAAAACTTGAGCAACAAACGAAACTCCAACAATTCAATTTTTTACCAGAAAACAATTTCAATTTCATACATACTGAAAAAACAAGGACCGGCCGGGACTCGGACCCTAGACATAAGGAGGCAAAGGCAACCAATCTACCTCTAGGCCAATTGGAACGATGCTGGAAGTTGTTAAGTTTCAATAATAGAGCAAAAAAGAAAAGCAAAAAAGATTTGTAAGCAACGTTGTTTTACGGGTGAAAAAGTATAGTTCCCGGTTACAAGACACTTGCTCTCGCAAGTGTAAATAATTTCAAACCAGTAAGTAGTTTCTACCAAAGACAAAACTGAATTTCACATGAGGCGCTCGAATCGGAGAAAACTCTGAATATAGGTAAAAGACATTTGGAAAAGAGTCAATGAACGCAAGTTCGAATTTCTAAGTTGAAAAAATATAGCCTCAACCCTCTTTCAAATTCAAATTTTTTTAACACTTTTTTGAAAAAATCAACTCATTTTGAGAAAACTGGATTAATAAGTTAAATTTATTTTCCACTGTGAAATCTGGAAACTAAATTCCACTTTCGAAACTAGAAGTCGATCACGTTTTTCGTGACCTTTACACTTTCATAATGACAGAAGGCAATTTACCTCACTTTCATCAGATGAATTTGAATTGAACTCAAAAAGTGCATATATACCAAAAGGCATTCATAAATGCGTTAAAATGTATGAATGCACATCTGTATTGATTAGAAAAACTTGAGATTTTTTTATGAAAAAAAAACGCTGAAAAATCACCAAAACTCATATAAAAGTCTTAACTAATCTCATTCACTCTGAAAAATTCCGACTGCACTTTAGAATAGTATTGATGGATTTTCGGAAAAAAAAACAGAAGAAATTAAATTGAAAGTCTGAAAACTTTTTTCTCATTATGTTGACAAATCTTCCCACTCACTCAATGTTTTTCTTCTTTAAAACACTTTGAAATTCAAAAAAAATATATGATAAGCAACTTCTTGATAAAGCTAACCCAATTTGAGAAAACTGGATCATTGGGTAAAGTTTTTATTCCGCTGGGAAATCTTAAAATTAAATTTCACTTTCGAAACTAGAAATCGTTCACGTTTTCTCGCGCCATTTCCACGTTCGTATTTGGAGAGTTCTATTTACGTCATTTTCAGCAGATGAATTTCAATTGAACTCAAAAAGTGCATTATACTTAAATGCATCAATATTTTAAGACTTTTTCCTGAAAAAAAATAAATAAATAAGCGCGGCCTATATAAGTCGAACTTTGTTCATCGAATTAGAAAAACTGACATGGTCTCGGATTCGAACGCTTGATGGCTTGCGACATAGCCCCACTCCCTAAAACCATAGTCCCACTCCTGGACCACATTTTCTTGAAAATTACCTTCATTACTAAAGCAAGCTATCAAATGCTTCAAAAGATTCTGTTAAACTAGTTGTTAACTAGAAAAAAAGTCAATATTCCAGTAGGATATTGCTTGCTTATCGCAAGCATCATCAGAAAATTTTTCAAAACAACTAAAATGTCAAATAAACGTATTTTTGATACCCTTCTATTTACAAAAGTTAGGGTGCAGCTGATTGTGCAGAGAAACTACCATTACATGTTCTTTCGATTGAATCCCTGTCTCAGATTTGGCGTGGTAGTTTTCAAAAAATGAAAAAATGCAAAAAAAATAATAATTGAAATTTTTAGAAGGCGGTAGAACGTGGATCAATATATGAAGGGACTAGAAAAATATGCAGGGACGCAAGAGTAACCGGTCAATTAGTTTGAAAATCCGTCAAGTAGTTCTCGAGAAAAACTACAACTTCTGCGATAACAAAAAAAAACAATAAATATAGCCAAGCGACAGTGCGAAAAAGTTAATGAACGGAAGGAAACGGAAAAAACTGTCCAACTTTCGAACTCCTCTTTGAATTTCGAAATCAATTTCAGATTGATGCTTTTTGATAACATTAAACCAATTTGAGAAAACTGGATCAAAAATAAGTTCTTAACACAGAGGCGAAGCGGAGCTTCGCGACACTTGCAAAACAAACAAACAAAAAAAACATAAGTCTAAAAAATCAAAATTTTCGTATATCTAAAAAAAAACAACTAAGGGCCCAGCTAAAGCTGAACGTACGTGTTTGATATTGAAAAAATTTGATATAGTGATGCGGCACAAAAAATGTGGTTTCCAAAGGTGGACTTTGAAAAAACCTTGTTTCTCTTCTAAAAAAAATGAGAAGAGTAAAAAATTTAGAATGACAATTTTCCCAAGAAAACATTTCTCTAACAAAACATAAGGAGTCGCCATTTCTGCAGGACCAATTATCTCAACCGGTTCTTTCAATTGAATTTTTCGCCTCAGATTAGATTGTGTAAACAGTTTCTAAAAAAAAGGTCAAAAGTTTTACAAAAACGGTAAAAAGACTTTCCAAAATCCATAAATTTTTTTCTGCAAAAAGAAGATGGTGATCGCTTAAGCAGAAAAAAATCCCGAAACCCAGTTCCTCGATTGGACACAACCTGAAAATTGGCACGTTAGTTTGCGCGCAAAGTCGAAAAAGTTTCCAAAAAAATGTCAACTTCAAAACTTTGAATTGTTTGAAGGCCGTAAACTTTTATCTTAAACAAACTGATCATAGCCAATTATAAAGATAGGCTGTTGTTTGTATTAAATCTATGATATCAAATTTGGCAGAGGTTAGCAAGAAAAGTCCAAAAAACGGTCAACAAATCAGAAAATTGACACTTCCGAGAAACATAGCTTTTGTTAAAAGTTGGGCGTGGCCGCTTATGCAGAAGAGATTCACCCAACCTGTAATTTCGATAGATCCCAAAAAGCTAGGTAGTTTCAAGTCAACTACTTAAAAATAAGGTCAATAAGTCGATAAAAAAGCCGAAAACATTTGGACAGAAGAACTTTTTGAGCGAAACAAAAAAAAACAACGAAGAATGAACGTAGTCAAGGTAAGTAAAATTACAATTTGTAGGAGAAAATCAAACACTAAAAACAACATTAAAGAAAAATGCGCGCTACAAAAAAAAACGATCGAAGATGTGACAACTGAGCCAACAACAGATAAGCAAACAAATAATTAGCCGACAAATTTATTTGAAAGAGAATGTTTCCCGTTTGAGAAAAACAGGTCCTGGTCCGATTCAACCCAAGACTTTTGGCGTTCCAGGCATATTCGTTACCTCTAGGCTAAGTTGGCCGGGAACGCATAGAGGTTTGAATTTAATATGAACCAAGATACAAGTGATTCTGTTAAACGAGTTGTTCACCCGAAAAAAAGCCTATACTTCGATTTGATAACGCTTGCTTATCGCAGGCGTAAATAACACTACTGGAAAATCAGAACACTTAAATACCTTTTTTGTCGCACCTAAACTGGAAATCAATCACGTTTTTCGAGACCCTTTCAATTTTTGCTGTTGGTTGGATAGTGGATTTTGCCTTCCTTTAACCAAGGGAAATGAGCTGAAACGTAAAAAATCAAGAATAAAATTGCGAAAAAAAAATTGAGCTTGAAAAAATATTGCGACTTTTCCAAAAAAAAAAAATTCACGAACTTTCTAAGATTCTGAACTACGTTGATCAAATACTAAAACATAAATGTCCTTACAGCTTGTTAAAATCCAGAAACAAACTATCATTGTCATTTTTTTTGGATAAAACTAAACCAATTTGAGATAACTGGATCAATAGATAATTTTGTTACTCCGCTGCAAAATTTGAAATCCATTTTCGAAACTAAAAATCGATCACATTCTTCATGACCTTTACACTTTAACTGTTCGATAGTAGATTTTGCTTTCCGTTTAAGGAACTGAACTTAAAAAATTCGCGAAGTCAAACAGCGAAACATCAGATTTGAGCGTCAACTTTTTCCTGAAAACAAAACAAGCATAAAAAATCATCATGGCCTATCTAAGAGTCATTACTACGTTCATTTACATTAAAACTTTAAGGATTCGGATAGCGAACTAAGGCCTACGATGTTAAAAGCCCACTATTTAACTACAAAATCCCCAGGTTATACTTCTGCTTGTGTATTAAGAGCTGTTGCTAAGCAAAAAACTTTCCAAATAGATTGCATCTAGATTAACTTAGAAAAAGATTATCAAGGTACAGTTGTGTAATTAATTAGTGCAAAATTAAAAACAATAAACTTGAATATATAGAAAATTAAAATGCTTGGTTTCAGTGATCAGAACCAGGTTAACATGATCCAAACTATTACAAAAATAGACGGTTTTTTAATTATTCCGCCCAAAAAAACTAACAGCACAACCTTTTTTCATTAACGCTTTGTTCAAACTTTGGTTTGGAATTACATTTAAATTCAACCAATCAGATTCGAGCGTTTTTATTTTTATTTTTCATGATTTGACATACGATCAATTGGGCGGAATAAGTTTAAAAAATCCAAATAGATTACAGTATACTTTATTTTCAAATCACAGCGCCACGGTTAAGTTGCCTTGCTCACTTATACTATCAAAACAAATTTAACGTCGTTCACGAGTCAAGTTTTCACTAATCATGAAAGCGTTAAAATGTACTTCATAATGTGGATTTACTTCGCATTGTTAACTTCAGTCAGAATCATAATAAGGAGAAAAGTTTAGTAAACGGAATGCCTAAAAATAATACAATTCATCTTTCAGGGTTTTTTAGTTTTATTAATTTAGTTCACTTCAAATACAAATAGTCCAGACTTTTCAAAAGTGTTCAGAACAATCCAAATATAGCTTTGTATTGCAAACATCAGGTCAACTGATATCTAGGCAGATTTATAAAATTTAGTTTCAGCACAGCCACCAAAATTACCTATTTCCAAAATACAACCAAACTAATGTTTTATAATCAAAACATCACAAATTTTTGCTCTCTCACAGTACGACTGAAAAACTTTACTCGCCGTCTTTTAAGATTTCCACTTGTTTGTTTTGCTCGGTACTTTGGAAAACGGTTTAGAATATTAACAATGTATCATCATTTCAAACATCTTCAAATGAAGTCATTCAACTTTACTCAGGGCCAACATATTTGTCAGCAGGAACCAACACAATTGCAACTCTACTTGGCAAGTACACTTGAATGGACCCCTTCCTCCCATCCATTCCTTTTGGGAACACTTTGAACATGTTAGTCATATCTAGTCTGTCGAACCCATCGTATCGTCCGCAGTCGGAACAGAGGCCTAGTTTCATCTCGAAGCCCCCCTCTTGTTCAACTGGGATCCAGTAGTCGGCGTAACTCTGGTTGGGGTGGAAGTTGAACGCAAACAGACATCCGGCACGCTCGAATACGATGACCTGAAGAAAGAGCTTACTCTACAAACTCCGAAAGCCTCGAAACACCCATTATAAACAAGGGCAGATTCAGGGAAGACGACACCCTCCCCCCTCCCCGAAAACAACACTATCACCAGCTAATGGTCGCCACTTTGGTACTACTTTACATGGTACTATGAGGAAGATATAGATTTTTTGGTTCAAAACCTTCCAATGGGGTTCAAAACATTTAAAACGTTTTTTTTTTTCAATTATTTGTCTGTCTGCGACGCAGCTGCTTTTCGCAAAAAATACAGTTTTAGGAAATATCAGAAAAATTATTTTGGTCGACCTAAAATTATTTTCTCTTTCCTTCCTCTCCCTCAGGAAACTAATTTAGCAAACACATTTAATTATAAATTGTACACTATAAAACTTATAAATCGTACACTATTAGTCATTATAAAACTTTGAATCAATTTAACTAGGTGTACGCAAAGCAAAGGTCAATTCATTACTCGAATTTGCCTTCATTAACTAAGCCGCTTTCTAAGCTTTAGTTCAAGTCTCTAACTCTGTTGTATTCAAAACTGAGAACAAGTCCGTTTGACCTTATCCATTTACGTATTTTCGCAATTTTTTCATTGGAGTTAATTTATCTTACTTTTGGTCATATATTTAAATAAAACATCAGGAAAACATCAACAACCAAACCGCAAAACATCAAATTTGGCGTCAACAGACTTTTTCCTGAAAAAAAAGGAAATAAAAAACAACGCGACATTAAATACGTGTCTTCACTGCGTTCATTAGTTCTGAAAAAAATTTAATTTCGCGAGGTATGAGCAAGATGACGCAGAGAACGAATGAACCTATCCGACCTTGTCCATCTCGTGTTTTCGGCTGACGTATGCCTGTGGTGCACAGACCCACTTGAACTGGTTCTCCAGCAGGTTCATGTCCTTGTCGAAGTTGGCTAGATTCTTGTATCTCAACATGTCGTCTTCGATCAGGTTGAACTGACGTCTGGAACATGAAAGATACTTCTTAATTATACAGCAAGTACTTGTTCCATTGGCGGTTGGATAGATCTGTTTACAAAAATTTGTTCCGACCATTTGAAAAACGAGGAGGACCTTTGAATTCGGGAGTTTTAATTTTTTTCCACGCAAAGACAGGTACCACAAAACATCATCAGAATGGTTAGAAATATACCAAATTGAAGCCCTTTCGGTCGTAATTCAAACGACATTAAAAAATTTCAAAAACTTTTCAGTATCGAGGTAAAATTTTTCATTTTAATTTCGATATTGAGCGAATAAAGCGAGCAATCAGGTTTACTATAGCTTAATTATGCTTTAAGCCCTGAAAACTTAGTTTTAAGCTGGTAAATTAGTTTTTGGAGTTTTCCAAAGCCTTTTTGGGAACCAAAAAATTTAAACAATTTTCTGCAAAAAAAATTTGGCTAAATAATTTTCAGTGTCCAATAAGCCTAAATTATAGATTTACGTCAGATCCTTTTATTACACAACGCAGAAAAAACTTATTTGAGAAAAAAAAATTTTTTTGTAGTTTTTTAAAGACTATGGTCGGAACATTCTGGGCTACTTGCACAGTAACCGGCTATCTTTGTTATATAATGTGTTTCCCGTGACAAGATTGATTGCCAGTGAAAACTAAATCATAAGAACACAACACTTCAACGAAAAAAAAATTCTAAAAACGACCAACAAGAAAAAAAAAACTTTTGTAAATTGCTCTTTTTGTTTGTTTTAGTATATGGATCCCAATTATGTGTCCGTCTGTCTATTTCAAATCAAGGTAATATACAAAATTAATAAAGGATAGAATGTACTGACGCACAGTGAGGTCTCAGTGCCCTTTATATTCGTTAGCATACCTCGCATAGTGGTAGCTCCAACCGTTTCCCTCTCGTGGGAAATCCAGCCACTCGGGATGTCCGAACTCATTCCCAATAAAGTTCAGATATCCCTCTCCGCCCATGGCGTGAGAGATGAGTCTGATCATCTTGTGAAGTGCCATGCCCCTGTCTAGGATGAGGTTGCGGGGGGACATTACAGACATGGAGTAGTACATCTCCTTGTCCATCAGCCAGAAAGAGAGAGTCTTGTCACCCACTGGAAAAAAAGTTAAGTTCACTTTAGAATTATTTTAGTTCAAGACATCAGAGCTGGATCCCGCGGGTAAAAATAAAAACTGAAGATGAGTTCCGCCATTTTGGCGATGAAAAACAATCCCAATTGAGTGAGTAACCCAGTTCTGCTTCTAAAAACGGATTTCCGTAGTTTTTTAGCGAACTAATAAATTTTTGGGACTCTCATAGTTGATTCTTTTAAATTGTTCTGAAGTTGTCGTCTCAGTTTTGTTTTAATCGCTCAACAAAGAAAGAGCAATAGGTGCATTCACAGTTATTTTTGATCATGTAGACCACAGCGAAATTTGCAAAAATTACCCTTCAAATTTTTACAAAATTGTAGTTAAAATCTAGAAATCTTGATTGACTTTGGACATTGATATAAAAAGATCCATGAAAGGCTGGAAAACTCCGGCCTCAAGTGACGTTACTATCAAATGGCCTTTAAAATATTCATATCCAGATTAACGAATTCGGGTCTCACCCAGTGCTTGGTCATGTGACTCTGCATATGCAATGCACTTCTCCTTGTGGCGTCTGTTGGTGAGCACGTGACATAAATTGGCCAAGTCCCAGTCCTCGTCATTCTTCTCTTTCAGTAGTTTGATCCACATGTCAGGGATAGCCATTGCCAGTCTGTAGTCAAATCCAAGACCTCCTTCCTCAACTTCTCTGTAAGCATATCATCATGATTACTACTACTTGATTTTATGCACTCTCTGTGGCTCTCGATAATCGCAGTCAGAAAAAACATGGTTGCCAATATTGTATTTCAGTTTAAAAAAAGTGTTTAAAGTGCGAAAAGGTAGAACAACGAAAACAGAGTGACGTTTACATTCAAAACATAACCAACAAACAGTTGGAAAAGAGTCACTGAACTCAAGGAGACCAAAAACTCGAGGTGTCAAGGATCTTCAGTAATGTGTTACAATAGGTGGCAGCTTCAAGTCACATAGCTGGATCTTCGAAAAGTTTTTAGAATTTATTTCAAAAGCCAAACTTTTTGGCAAAAGCGAAAGTTTTAAATTTATGTAACATTTCATCTAGCAAGGTACTATAATCACAAAAACTATCTTAGTAAGCATGTACAATTGATTGAAAATGAAATCACTATTTAATGCATTATAGTTCTCAAATTTAATAGACGCACTATACTCAAAATTACCACCTATTGTAGCATATAACCGGATCTTCTATGATGACACACCTTTGATGAAATTTAACCCAAATCGAGAAAACTGAAGGAACAATCTTTTATTCGACTTTGAAAACTACTTAAAATCCACTTTCGAATCAAATTGGTATTCCAATACTAGCCAAAAACAAAGCGGATAAAACACATGTTATTAAATTGCTATGCTATGCAGCCAAAAGTGTGACCAAATATCTCCGCCCATGGAAACATGGAAAAATTAGAAAAAAGTAAAAGATAGATCTTTAAAAGCCTTTAATAACTGCTAAAGCTAATTCCATATTATAACAATAAACTTGCAAGCTCTGGTGATTAAATAAATCAAGTACCTGCACAAAGCTGGCATTCCTGAGACATCTTCAGCAATCAGTATCGCATCCGGCTTCAGATAGGTCTTGACAAGATAACTGGCCAGCATCATATACACCAGAGCATCAGTGTCCACTTGCATGCCAAAGTACTCTCCGTAGTCTCCGCTGAATCCAGTGCCGATGCCGTGGTGGTGGTACAGCATGGAAGTGACACCGTCGAAACGAAATCCATCAAATTTGTAAACCTAAGCGCAAACACAGTCAAATATATATGTTAGCTCTTTTACAAATTTCGAACGCCAAGTTTACGACTAATTTCAGCAAATCAAATACAGCATTTTTTCAAAAAAAAAAATGTCTGACCCTAAAAAATTTTGGCTGTTCAAGATTTTTTTTGCGACTCGAGTTGCATCTAAGATAAAGTCAAATCAATTTAAAAACAAGAGCATTTTTCGTGGATCTTTACAGAAGAAACTCAAAAATAAACCCAATCCTACCTCCATCCACATGGCAAGATTGGACAACAAGAATCTTCTGGTCTCCCAGTGCCTATAATCAAACAGTCTGCTGTCCCACAAATTGTGATTGCCTCTCGCACCCGAGTGGAAGAAACAACAGTCAGTGCCGTCAAACATGTTCAGACCATCCAGGGTATTCTTAGCAGCATGACTGTGCACTATGTCCAGAAGCACAACTAGATTCAACTTGTGAGCTGTGTCAATTAGCTCTTTTAGTTCCTCAGGGGTTCCATATCGACTACTTGCAGCAAAGAACGCGGTCACCTGGAAACAGATGAGGACGGTTAGAACATGCAGACATGAAAACCCCTGTGGATAACAAAAGGTGCGATAACCTTATACATCCCTAAAAACAAATGTCAAGGTACTTTGGCGCATGTGCTGCATCCAAACTTTTTCAGAGTTCACTCTATGATCGCTGAGTTAGTTAACTACAAAAGAATTCTGAAACTTTAATTAATTCATTCTTGCAGCCACTTCGCTTTGGTACAGTGAAAACAGTTTACGGAATCCTTGAATTTTTGAATTAGAAAGAAAGGCACAAAATACTCCAAAACCAACTTTACTCGAGTAAATCTAAGTTTTCACGGCTTAATTTAAACATAACACAGAGGCGAAGCTGTGCTTCGCAAACACTAGCGAAAACACGGCAAAAAAACGGTTCTATAAAGTGGAATAAGAAAAAGTAGAAATAAGCCTCGAATTAGTAAAGCTCGATCTGCGACCTAGATATCAAGATTCTCACACACTAACCACTCAGCAACGGAGGCTTATAAAAAACATTCACTAGCCAAAAATGAAGCAGAAAACAGATGCTATGAAATTTCCAATGCCACAGGTCGTGATTAAGCAGAAGTGCCACCAAATTAGTGAAAAATTTTAATGAACACTTTTATTTGCGAGTTAGCTTGGGAAAAATGGTTCGTACTCAAGCTCGCAAGTGTAATAAGCTGTTGTAAGCCTGGTCGCTCACCTTATTTTCTCGAAATTAGACGAAAAATCTAAAATTTCAAATGGGTTTTTCTCGACACTGTTTTTTTAATGTTGGACGAATCACGATTGAATGGGCTTTATTATGATATATCACTCGACGCATTACGATGATTATTTATGTTACCTATTTTTTCGTAGAAAAAAAAAAATTAAAAAATAATAATAATAAAACACCCGAATACCAAGTTCTTCCCTATTTTTCAAATGGTCGGAACAATTTATCATAAAAAGATGCCCAAATTCACCTGATATCCGAAACACCCATAGTACGCGTGTTCCATAATAGCCATCAACTGGATACAATTATACCCCATGTCTGCAATATGCGGCAACACTTTCTCCGTAAAGTGCTTGTACGTCGACACTTTAGCCTCCGGGGATGCAATACCCACATGGGCTTCGTATATCTTCAGGTTATCAGGCACTGGGGGACATTTGTACTTGAACTGGTAGGGCTCAGTCGGGTTCCAGATCACGTGATCGTAGGTGTACGAGTTCTCAGGCTGCAATGCATATGAGGTCCAAGGTGAAATGCGGTCGCATAGTTCACCGCCCTAAAAAGAGACAGTTGCAATCAGGGCGACTTTTTTGCGGCTCTGAAAGCAAACACATTTTGCCGAAGAAAAATTAGCGCTTAATAAACATTATCTGCTCAGGTAAAATTTGAGCATTTATGCGGATTTTAAAACGTCCCCCAATTTGTCAAGGCAACGCAAAGTAAAACAACCTGTCAACAGCCTAAACCTAAGTGTTAACATAATACCCTTGGAAGCTTGTCTGTAAATTACGTTGTCCTGTTAATTCTTAGATAGTTACGCTATTGGATAAAGTCCTTTTTTAAAAAGCCAACAAAAACTTAAATGATTACCACCGAGGTTAGAGTAATCACGGCATCAAGATATCAGTTTAATTGAAAGTTTCATTTTTATTTACCTTCGACACTACATTGAGTCGCACTCTGTCCAAATGCTTCAACACGGGAGTGCCATCCTTATTAGCCGGCATTTCCAACAACCACTTTCCGTGTTCCAGTTCCTTGAACGGAGTCTTTACTCTATTCCATTCATTGAATTGGCCCCTTAGAAACAGGCCCTCCGCTCCAGGGGCGTATTCAAGCCACTTCATGGACCCATCAGGCGCGAACTGCGGTCCAAATTGCTTGTAGCCTTGACTGGAACAACCATGCAAGAACCATTATTATGCGTAGTCAGTATTGAATAAATCAGCAAATTGACTTCAAACCAAGTCTCACAAATTTATGGAGATGTGCTCGAAAAAATTCCCAAAACCAAAGAGAATCATCTCTTCACAAATTTTCGTAATATTGGAAATTTGCTACATTTACACCGCAAAAAACAGCTACCTGGGATAGCAAAAAAGTAACAAATATACTTTTTTTAATTCGAGAGGCAAAACCTTATTCGGAAAGCAATTTCTTCTGGAGCAAAACGTAGATTTCGGGGCAGCTGTCATGAAAAACACAATTTTTATTGAAAATCTTAACAATTGTAGTTCTTCGAGAAGTTTGGAAAAAGGATTCACTATAGCTCTTCACGAAGTTTGGAAAAAGGATTCACTGTAGCTCTTCACGAAGTTTGGAAAAAGGTTTCACTATAGCTCTTCGCGAAGTTTGGAAAAAGGATTCACTATAGCTCTTCACGAAGTTTGAAAAAAGGATTCACTGTAGCTCTTCGCGAAGTTTGGAAAAAGGATTCACTATAGCTCTTCGCGAAGTTTGGAAAAAGGATTCACTATAGCTCTTCGCGAAGTTTGGAAAAAGGATTCACTATAGATCTTCGCGAAGTTTGGAAAAAGGATTCACTATAGCTCTTCACGAAGTTTGGAAAAAGGATTCACTGTAGCTCTTCACGAAGTTTGGAAAAAGGATTCACTTTAGCTCTTCGCGAAGTTTGGAAAAAGGATTCACTGTAGCTCTTCACGAAGTTTGGAAAAAGGATTCACTGTAGCTCTTCACGAAGTTTGGAAAAAGGATTCACTATAGCTCTTCGCGAAGTTTGGAAAAAGGATTCACTATAGCTCTTCACAAAGTTTGGAAAAAGGATTCACTATAGCTCTTCACGAAGTTTGGAAAAAGGATTCACTGTAGCTCTTCACGAAGTTTGGAAAAAGGATTCACTATAGCTCTTCGCGAAGTTTGGAAAAAGGATTCACTGTAGCTCTTCACGAAGTTTGGAAAAAGGATTCACTTTAGCTCTTCGCGAAGTTTGGAAAAAGGATTCACTGTAGCTCTTCACGAAGTTTGGAAAAAGGATTCACTGTAGCTCTTCACGAAGTTTGGAAAAAGGATTCACTATAGCTCTTCGCGAAGTTTGGAAAAAGGATTCACTATAGCTCTTCACAAAGTTTGGAAAAAGGATTCACTGTAGCTCTTCGCGAAGTTTGGAAAAAGGATTCACTATAGCTCTTCGCGAAGTTTGGAAAAAGGATTCACTATAGCTCTTCGCGAAGTTTGGAAAAAGGATTCACTATAGCTCTTCACGAAGTTTGAAAAAAGGATTCACTGTAGCTCTTCGCGAAGTTTGGAAAAAGGATTCACTATAGCTCTTCGCGAAGTTTGGAAAAAGGATTCACTATAGCTCTTCACGAAGTTTGAAAAAAGGATTCACTGTAGCTCTTCGCGAAGTTTGGAAAAAGGATTCACTATAGCTCTTCGCGAAGTTTGGAAAAAGGATTCACTATAGCTCTTCGCGAAGTTTGGAAAAAGGATTCACTATAGATCTTCGCGAAGTTTGGAAAAAGGATTCACTATAGCTCTTCACGAAGTTTGGAAAAAGGATTCACTGTAGCTCTTCACGAAGTTTGGAAAAAGGATTCACTTTAGCTCTTCGCGAAGTTTGGAAAAAGGATTCACTGTAGCTCTTCACGAAGTTTGGAAAAAGGATTCACTGTAGCTCTTCACGAAGTTTGGAAAAAGGATTCACTATAGCTCTTCGCGAAGTTTGGAAAAAGGATTCACTATAGCTCTTCACGAAGTTTGGAAAAAGGATTCACTGTAGCTCTTCACGAAGTTTGGAAAAAGGTTTCACTATAGCTCTTCGCGAAGTTTGGAAAAAGGATTCACTATAGCTCTTCACGAAGTTTGAAAAAAGGATTCACTGTAGCTCTTCGCGAAGTTTGGAAAAAGGATTCACTATAGCTCTTCGCGAAGTTTGGAAAAAGGATTCACTATAGCTCTTCGCGAAGTTTGGAAAAAGGATTCACTATAGATCTTCGCGAAGTTTGGAAAAAGGATTCACTATAGCTCTTCACGAAGTTTGGAAAAAGGATTCACTGTAGCTCTTCACGAAGTTTGGAAAAAGGATTCACTTTAGCTCTTCGCGAAGTTTGGAAAAAGGATTCACTGTAGCTCTTCACGAAGTTTGGAAAAAGGATTCACTGTAGCTCTTCACGAAGTTTGGAAAAAGGATTCACTATAGCTCTTCGCGAAGTTTGGAAAAAGGATTCACTATAGCTCTTCACAAAGTTTGGAAAAAGGATTCACTATAGCTCTTCACGAAGTTTGGAAAAAGGATTCACTGTAGCTCTTCACGAAGTTTGGAAAAAGGATTCACTATAGCTCTTCGCGAAGTTTGGAAAAAGGATTCACTGTAGCTCTTCACGAAGTTTGGAAAAAGGATTCACTTTAGCTCTTCGCGAAGTTTGGAAAAAGGATTCACTGTAGCTCTTCACGAAGTTTGGAAAAAGGATTCACTGTAGCTCTTCACGAAGTTTGGAAAAAGGATTCACTATAGCTCTTCGCGAAGTTTGGAAAAAGGATTCACTATAGCTCTTCACAAAGTTTGGAAAAAGGATTCACTATAGCTCTTCACGAAGTTTGGAAAAAGGATTCACTGTAGCTCTTCACGAAGTTTGGAAAAAGGATTCACTATAGCTCTTCGCGAAGTTTGGAAAAAGGATTCACTATAGCTCTTCGCGAAGTTTGGAAAAAGGATTCACTATAGCTCTTCACGAAGTTTGGAAAAAGGATGGATTCACTGTAGCTGTTCACGAAGTTTGGAAAAAGGATTCACTATAGCTCTTCGCGAAGTTTGGAAAAAGGATTCACTGTAGCTCTTCGCGAAGTTCCATCTAACAACAGTTTCGACGATTGTTTACTCCAACAAAATAATTCAACGATTGTTTAAATTGCCTTATTTGCCTATCGGCCTGGTTAAAACAAATCACATGAGAATCAAATTTGATTTTAAAAAATCTTAATTTATTGAAACTCACGACAAGTTTTCAAAATTGTTTGAGTATTTCGAAAAACCTGGCTCAATCAACAATAGCCATTAAAAATGTGCAACTGGTGTTATAGGCCAGCATTACTGGCCACCATATACAAAAAATAGGTCGAGAATAAAACAAAAACATAGGCCGATTTTATTCACAAATTTTGCTTTTGATCCAAAGCTGAAGCGAAAAGAAAAGGGTCGCAACTTCCTTAGAAATCTTTTAATAATGCCACGGAAAGCAAAGAACAAAAAAAAACAAATAAGAAGCAAATATTGGCATTGTAGCGATCATATGCATCAAGAAATCAAAATAATGAAAACTTTGTGTTCTATCGGTTATAAACAGCAATTCAAACTTTATTAAGTGTTTTTTTAATCATTTTTGACACTTGAAAAAAAATTGGCAGTTGAACTAATTTTTTCATTTTCGGCACTGTTGTACTGCCGCAAAAGATCACCTCATGGAAAAATGCTCATCAAAAAAATTCTCAATTTGGGATCACAGAGGATATCAAATTGTTAGAGCACGTTGTTGTTGATAAACGCCAAAAAACATGCCCATATGGCAAATCATGCCCAAAAACCATTTCTGACGCTGATAAATGTCAGGGTAGGGCGACAATTCGTAACAGGCTACAATTCGTAACAGGTGACAATTCGTAACAACGCATTGGCAAGTAGAATACACTTGCTCCGCTTCACTCTGTTGCGCTTACATCCGGCACGAGATGAATACTGCGCGTGAATCAAAGTTCCCCGCTTTATCTACTGTTACGAATTGTTGCCTGTTACGAATTGTCGCTTGTTACGAATAGTCGCCTCACCGAATATCAGTACAGCGTTCAAGCGCTGCTAATTTTTGAATCACACGGAAGAGCACCAGGCTCTACTAAAAGTACCCGGAAAAATTACGTTCGTTATTTTCAACCGGCATTTGAAATTACTTAAAGTTAGCGTTGTTCAAAAATAACGTGGAGGGAAAGTTTCTTATGACTATTTCAAGAATCTAATTTCTCTATTTAAAATTCAGCTAAACATACCTGAACTTCAGCAAACTACCCTCTCCAGCCTCGATAGCTTCGAGTGATTTTTTAAACTGTGTATATCTATATCGGAAGTCACTTTTGTAACTATTCAAGTAGCCGTCATCGTTCAGCAAGTTCTGTAGCTTCGGTGGAGCGATAGCGTAATCTGGCTTCCATGTTTCTTCGCTGGAATCCTGCGTCGAACCGTTTGCACTTTTTTGAGCTGCCTCAATCATTGTCATGGTTTCAAATCTATAACAACAGCAACTACTATTTAAACTTAGTAAATAGTATTTAAAAACAGATCAACTAAGTAAAAAGATGAAAATGTACATTTCGAAAGTTTTCGCTTATAAAAACATCATCAGGAATAAACACTTGTCCTCATGGCTGTAAACGAGAAGGTAAGAAATTATCATGGCCAGTACATATCATAGTTACTTTACTAGCACTTCATCATTTCACTCAGTCAAAAAACTATTGGAATTTCAAAAATTGATTTGCAACTGATTTCAAAATGGTTCACGGAATTAATACCATAGATCCAATGGTTCAACAACTGCTCACAAAATCTTCGGTTTCCTTGCTTCACTGTTTATTCTTACCCCATTTACATTATTGCAAAATCAATAATGTATTTAGAAAAGCAGTTTAACTGGGCCCTGAAACTCACTTTTTTCAGATTCAAACTTGTTTTCTTTGTTCTTTGATTTGTGCCTCGCGAGGCTCATTCCTCGTGGCTTGCCAAGTAATGAACTCAACAATTCTCCCGCCACCATTACGAGCATAGATATTAACGAAGAAACTTTCCTGGAAACTAGTGCTAGATTATCTTAAATGGTATCTTCAACTGAATAATTGTTTTCATAGACTTAAGTTTCTAGAGAAAATGCTTACAAAACACACAATTCAAGCACATTGAACAAAAATAAAACCCAAAAACAAAACAAAAAACTCCCAGAAAGACAAGATAGACCGTTAGACAAAGAAAATCACAGGTCAGCAATAGCTTTAAAGGGCATTGATTTACCAACGTGGGCGCAAGAAATTTTATCCGTGGGACCCAAACACCCGGTTCGGGATAAATTCAAAGAAAATCATTTTTTGACTGATGTGCATATTTTTATGCTACTTGAAAAATCAGAATAATACAGGGGAGTCGTTGTGTGAAATTGAAGCGTCAGCAAAGCCTATGTAAAGCGAGTGAAACAGACACCATCTGATAGAGGGATGGAAAAAGTTCTCTCAAAAAATATCTCAAAAACAACGTTCTTTTAGCAGTGCCATTTGATAAAGTGATTGGGTTTTGTATCATGGAAAAAGACCATAGAAAACGAAACTGCTAGAACTTTTACAGTCAGACCAATTTAAAGCAATGAATAACACTGTTGATTCGGTGGTGTCAAAAATTCGGTGGTGTTAAGTCTGATAAAGAACAAGGAGATAAGTGAACATCTCTACATCAAATTGAGGTCAACAGGTAGTCAACCGGCTCGTCTGTACGGTTTAGCAAAAGACACAAGGGGACATACCACTGCGCCCTGTTCTATCTCTACCTGGAAGATCATTTGAGAACTTTATCAAAAAAATTTGGTCAATATTTTGTTCAAATTGAGGGAGTGAACATAGAAACAAACACGCCAGAAGCACGAGAGATTATTGAGAAGGTTGAATTAGACTCTGGTGAGAACATGATTTCTTTTCATGTTATAAGTTTGAACACTACTGTTCCACTCAAAGAGGCTATCAACATTGCACTCAGAAAACTTCATGAGCAGGAGAAACATCCATACTATGAAGAGATTGCTAAACCTTGCTGTAGGTCAAGTACACTTTAAGTGTAATGATATGTGGTATACATAGAACGATGGTTTGGCCATGGGAGCCTCTCTTTCAGTCATACTGGCAAATTTGTGGATAAAAGAGTTCAAAACTGTATTGAGCAAAGAGATTGCCAAAATTTGCAAGCCCATTGAAGATCTAAATGGCATCTGTTCAGAACGTTAAAAAGTTACGTAAAGACAGAAAGGTTTTGAATGCGTAAATTGTCTAAATTGTTTCCATCAAAATGTGGTAAGTTTCAAGAAATGGAATAGAGAAATATAGCTAATACTGTTTGGTTTTGCTCGGCATGCTGTGATATAAGAGAAAGTAAGCAACACTGAGGAAATAAATCTCTTTCTGCGATATGTAGATGATATCGTAAGAACTGTGAAAGGAGAGCCAGAAGAATTGTTAAACGCTGCAAATCAATTGCATCCTAATCTACAGGTTACGTAAAAGCGTAATGTCATGGGAGATTATAGACCAAGCTAACACCAACTTCAAGATACTGACATTAGAAGCACTTCACAACTGGAAGCAGAGACCAAGAATAAAGACCCGCGATGTGTTCAAAAGGCTAATTTTTGACAAATACAACAACAAATAAATTTCAAAATAAAATATTGATATGTTTCAAAATTGGAAAATGAGACAAATCGAAAAATTAAATTTAAATTTAATTAGAAGATAAAATTAGTTCAATGTCTTAGACACTTAAGTCTGATGATATAATCATGATGTTATTTTGACGCGAACTTCAAATTTGCAAATATTTGATTGGTAGAATTTCTATTATTTTATAGCGACATTGTCTTAGGATATTTTTGTGATCGATGATCATTTTATAAAATTTTGACGCTTTTGAACCTGATGATGCACAAGTACGAAAACACTCGAAATTTACATTTTTATTCCGTCCAAACTTAAGTCATCCACAGCCCTGCGTAAAAGCAAGTCTTTTATCGGAAAAGAAAACAGAACCGAATTAAAACTTTTAATTTATTCATAATATTATCTTATCTTAAGGAAAAAAAAAAACAAGTAGAGCTTTTGTAAATGCCTTGAAAACACTAGACTTTAGAAAAATCAATCATTTTTATAAGCAAAAAAAAATTAATAATCACTTTTTAGATAATTAGAATTAAGCCAAGGCAATGTTTGCCTCTAACATGACAATCTTCAACTTCGAACTTGGTGCAGTAACTAGGTTAAGTATTTATTGACACTAATTTTTTTTAATTTATGACTTGCATAATTCAAGTTTTTGACAAGTATAATCGCTGCTCAAGCGCTCCTCTTCAAAAATTCTTTTTTTCCAGCTCCCGTCGGAAAAATGGAAAATCATTGCCAGTAAATTTACGAATATTTGACAAAACAACTTCTGTTTAAAAAAAAAACTGAAAAAGTTCTAGATTAATGAAAGGCAATCTAACATGGCTTGAGTTTTCCTCATAAAAAGATTTGTATATAAATTAATTTTATTGATGTTTTCAAGGTTGATATGTTATAAATCTATGTACTTGTGTATTTGTAATTCCATCGCACTTTGATGATATGATTGCTTCATTTTACTTAAATTAATTCAGCAATTAATCTGAAAATTTGAACTAGTTTTCAGCCCACTTTACTGTATTCAGGCAGAGACTTTTATAGAGTAACTGGTGCGTTCTGCTTCTGATTCTTCTTCTACTAAAACACTCTTTTATCAGTTCCCGCAGTCAAAAACTCAATGGATTTTCATGAATTAGGTAAACTTTAAAAAGTATATATGGTGAAGACAGGTATTTGGGAATCAAGTCAGCCAGATTGTTGAATTCAACACCAGATGAGAATAAATCGGAGTTAATAGAAACACAAAAAATTGACCTGATATGAGGCTACAGGTCTATCAGACATTTATATCGGCTACCTTTACGCTCCCTTGTATCTACAAAAAATACTCTCATCAAATTTTTACACAGAGGCGAGGCGAAGCATTGCACCACCTGCGATACAATAGAATCGGGAAAAGGGAAAAACCAATTATGATATAACTCGATGAAGAACACCTAGGGCCCAGCTAAAGCTGGATATATGTGTTTAATATTTATTGAATTTGTTATATTGATGCGTTAAGAAATGCTTAATTGCAAAAATTGCACTTTGCCCAAAACCTTAGTTGTTTCTCTTCTAAATCAATTAAGATAAAAAACTTGGCAGCAGGGAATTTTACCACAGACATAACACTGCTCAGACCAAAAAAAACCGCGTCTAGGAAAAATTCTAGCAACCGCTTCTTTTGATTTAACTCTTCATCTCTGATTTGATGGTGTAGTTTTTGAGAAAAATCAAAAAGTTTCTAAAAACGGTCAAACTGCAGAAAAAAACTTCGCGAAATCCGTTAAATTTTGCTGAAAGCAGTTCTTGGCCGGTGAAGTAGAAAAGAATTTGAAAATCAGGTTTCTCGATTAATTGCTTCATCTGAGAATTGGCATGATAGTTCCAGTGAAGTCACAAAATTTCCTTTAAACGACCGCAGTGTCAAAACTTTTACTTTTTAGCAGGCCACAACTTTTTTCATAAAAACTGGACGAAGCAAACTACAAAGGTAAGCTTCCAATAACCTGTTGTTTTTATTTAAAACAATAATAACAGATTTGGCATGATTTGAGAAAAGTGATCGATAAAAGTCCAAAAAACGGTCAACAAGTCAGTTAGTTGACATTTCCAAGATTCATAGCTTTTTCTTTCAGAAAAAATTGTGCCTATTCGCATATGCAGAAGATATTTGCCCAATATATTATTTAAATTTACCCCAAAAACCGAGGTATTTCTCGAGAAAAATCAAAAAGAATCCAAAAAGGTTAAAAAAAAAACATTTTGACTTTTCCGAGTACCATAATTTTTAGTGCTAAAGAATTTGGACAGAGTCTCGTAAGCAAAGGAGCTTTGCACAACCCTTTAATTGGTTTGAACCTGATATATTACACATGGTAGGATTTTTTTCGGTAAAATTCTTAAAAATTAGAAAAGAAAAACGCTCAACAAACTGATTTTTCCGAGGATGACAGTTTTTTTGTGAACAGATTTTTTGAGTAGCCGTTAATGCAGGCGAGCTTGCAACTACCTGATATCTCTATTGAAACCAGAACATCAGGTTTGGAAGGTTAGTTTGAGAAAAACTCAAAGAAAGCTAAGAAATTTCACTATTCCGAAGGCAATAATTTTATGAGCAAAAAACTTTGAACATAGCCGCATATAGAGAAGTTTTCTAAATCCGCTGTATTCATTGAAACAAAAAATCTCAGATTTGGTTGGTCAGTTTTTGAAAAAACGAAAAAAAAAATCAAAAATAACGGAGAAATATTCCCCACGCTGACTTTTTCGATAGCGGTCGACAAACAAGTAGCGCAAAAAGAGACCAGGGAAGTCTGCACACAAAAAGAG